TTAACGATGGTATATAGCATTTTAGCCTAGGGATTACCCTGTTTTATCATCATGTCATCAAAGATACCTTGCACGCTGGTGTGGTTACGCCGAGATTTAAGACTCATTGATAATCCTGCATTATTTCATGCTGCAAAACGTGGTCAACTTATTACTGTTTACATTTTCGATGAAGATTGCTCTGGCAGGAGGAAAACAGGCCAAGCTTGTTTATGGTGGCTGTATCATAGCTTGAAATCATTGCATAATCAACTAAGCCAATGGAACATTCCTCTTATTATGAAAAGCGGTAATGATGCATTTACTATTTTAAAGGAATTGCTCGATAGTTATAACGCCGATACAATTTATTGGAATCGTTGTTATGAACCATTTGAATATAATCGAGATTGCTCCATAGAAGAAAAATTAAAAATGGAAAACGTTACCGTTGAAACCTATCAAGATAGAGTATTATTCGAACCATGGACAATCAAGACAGCCAAAGGAGGACCTGTACAGATATATATTCACTTCTGGAATCAGTGCTTGTCACTGCCACAACCTCGCAAACCTTACGACAAACCTAAATTTAAGAATCAAACTGGGTGCCAAAGTAAATGCGATGAGCCAGCAGTGTGGCAACGATTGGCCAAATTATCACAGGATATGCCAATGAAATTACAAGATTTCTGGCATCCAGGCGAGGAGCAAGCAATTTCAAAACTAAAATCCTTTATTAAAAATTCATTAAATGCTTATGCAGAAAAGAGTCAATGCCTGCGGTTAAATACAACATCCAATTTATCACCTTACTTACATTTCGGTGAGATTAGCCCTTTCACTGTCTGGCATAGTGTTCGTCACGCATCCTCCTCTGCAGAGCCACCTGCAGTCAAATCAGAAAGCTTAAAACAATATCTTCGTTCGCTAGGATGGAGAGAATACACATGCCACTTACTATTTCATTACCCTGATTTACCTCAGAAATGTTTTCGATCCAGTTTTGAGCAATTAAAACTACAAGTCGATCCAGTCAAATTGCAATCATGGCAGCAAGGTAACACCGGTTATCCAGTTGTTGATGCTGGCATGCGCCAACTCTCAGTGGCAGGTATCATGCCGAATCGTCTTCGAATGATTGTGGCGTCATTTTTAATTAAGCACTTATTAGTCCCATGGCAAAAAGGAGAAGAATGGTTCTGGAGCAAATTAATTGATGCT